GTAATCATTTATCCATCATTCAGGATCTGCCGGTCAGCCCCAGCATTCAGGCACGAAATTTATTTTTAAAAAATTAGCAAAATAATATCAGCAACATCTAAAAGGAATTATACACTGTTCTCAGCTGAGGTATTCTAATAATTTGTGTCTTTTTCTAAATATTAATTTATGTAATATCCAATCCTATCTAATATGCAAATTGACCATCAGGCCCTTGCACAAGATGGCTGCCCCCATGTGGTCAAATGATGGCCACACTCATGTGGTCACAAGATGGCCACCACAAGATGGCCAGCAAAGGAGGGTAGTTGTGGGCGATCAGGCCAGAATGGGAGGGCAGTTGTGGGCAATCAGGTCAGCAGGGGAGGGCAGCTGGGGCAACCAGGCCTGCAGGGGAGGGCAGTTAGGGGTGACCAGGCCAGCAGGGGAGGGCAGTTGAGGGGGACCAGGCCTTCAGGGGAGGGCAGTTGGGGCAACCAGGCCATCAGGGGAGGGCAGTTGGAGGCGATCAGGCCAACAGGGGAGCAGTTAGGCGTCGATCAGGCTGGCAGGGGAGTAGTTAGGGGGTGATCAGGCTGACAGGCAGGCAAGCGGTTGGGAGCCAGCAGTCCCGGATTGTGAGAGGGATTTCTGACTACCGGCAGTCAGACATCCCTCAAGGGGTCCCAGATTGGAGAAGGTGCAGGCTGGGCTGAGGGACACCCCTCCCCCTGTGCATGAATTTCGTGCACCAGGCCTCTAGTAAATTAATATTCTGCTAATCTAATCAAGCCAGTAGATGTACAAAAGTTTTAGAAAAATCAATGTCTATTCAATATAAAAGCACTCAATAAATTAAGGATATAAAGCAGTGGTTCTCAACCTTCTGGCCCTTTAAATACAGTTCCTCATGTTGTGACCCCAACCATAAAATTATTTTTGTTGCTACTTCATAACTGTAATGTTGCTACTGTTATTACTCACAATGTAAATATCTGATATGCAGGATGGTCTTAGGCGACCCCTGTGAAAGGGTCGTTCGACCGCCAAAGGGGTCGCAACCCACAGGTTGAGAACCGCTAATATAAAGGAACTTCCTCAATTTGATGTATAGGATAAAATGGCAGCCTAATAGGCAGACCCTTCTTGGCACCTCCAGGGTTAGACTAGAAATAAAACTGAAGTGGGGAACATATATCCGGAATTACCAACTGAGGCCCAGCTGAGGAGCAGACTTATATGAAGGACAGACAGAATACACCTGGAGACTGGTAGGAAAGGTGAGGTCAGGAGAGGAGCTGACCCAGCTTCCAAGGTGGCAGGCCAAGATGAGGAGGGAACACTTGGCTACAGGAGGGTCTGTTCCCTGGGGAGACCCAGGCCTGGAACCCAGGCTGGGCTCCACAGCTCGGAGCACCAGTGCTGAGACCTGTGGCCCTCGAAACATCCAGCTGTGAAAGGTGGCAGGGCTGTGGCCATGGCAGAGTCTGGAGCCAGTAGTCCGGAGCTGATCAGAATGACAGCCTCAGTTTCTGTTTTTCTGTGTGTGTCTTTTTTTTTTTTTTTAAACCCAGAGCACAGGAGTTTTGATCTGAAGCTACTCCCTGGAGGCCTTGGTACAGGGAGGGAGGTGCAGACTTGAGGTGCAAAGGAGAAGCTGGGGTGAAAAACATTGGGGGAAGATGTAGAATAGAGAAGGCCAGGAGTCCTGCATTTGGTCATATGCCCCCAAACTGAAATGGCCATTTTTTTAAAAAATATTTTTTTATTGATTTCAGAGAGGAAGGGAGAGGGAGAGAAAGACAGAAACATCAATGATGAAAGAGAAACATTGATCATTTGCCTCCTACACACCCCCCACTGGGGATTGAGCCCACTACCCTGGCATGTGCACTGAACAGGAATGGAACTGTGACCTCCTGGTTCATTGGTCTACGCTCAACCACTGAGCCACATCTGCTTGGGCTGAAATGACCATTTTTCCTGAAAGGAGCTAGCAGCTCCCAGTAGCTTGTAGGACATGAAAAGATAAAACCCTGCCCTAGGGGATTCAGTGCATCCTACCCTCAGGAGTCCTGCCTGCCACGCCCTGAATTTTGACCTTCTCAGAGGCTACAAAAGCAGAGGCCAAGTCTACAGGTTTGAACAGCCTCAGGGAGTGTCAGTGACATGATTGAGAGAGGGGCTGTCCAACCCACTATCCCAGGAACCTGACTGGCACTTCCCCCCTGGGAAGGCTGATAGAAATTCCAGGTTTCCAGCTGATCCCACTGGACTGCATACAGGGCAGAGTAATATTTTGGGCCACTCACAGAGGCTCTGGGACAGGAAAACACACCCACAAAATTCCCTGAAATCTGAACAGCACTTCCCCCACCTAAAGCCCTTTCAGAAACAAACTTCTGAGTGATTAAGATTGACAGTTGGCTAGCAGGCCAAGGAAGGCAGAGGCAGAGTCCAGGGAACCAACCGAAGTTTGCTGGGCCCCAGGCTGCTAAGGAACCTGTTTTAGAGGGCAGATTGGCCCCTCCTACTTGCAGCCAAGTCCTATGGAGACAGACACAACCTGTGGATTGCTTGGAGCTTCAAGCTGAGAGCCAAAGAAGGACAGTTTCTGACAGTGCTTAGCATCTAATGAGAGGAACCCCTTCCTGGAATCACACAATGTATGTATGTGTGTCTCTGTGTCTGTGTGTGTCTCTGTGTGTGTGTGTGTAAAGCACACACATGTTTTCCTTACTGTAGACTCTGAAACATCACATCTGCAAAGTACAGTGCCACAGAAGGTTGGGCCAACACCAATGATCGTGATGTTACAGAATTGCTTGAAATTAAGAAATTATTCTTATTTTATGGCTATTCTTACTGGACAACATGGCCCAAATCAATTAATATATATACATTTTATCTTATTTATTGATTTATAGAGAGAGATAGAAAAATAGAGAGAGAGAAAGAAAAGAAGTATTGATTTGTTGTTCCACTAAGTTTTGCATTCATTGCTTGTTTCTTGTATGTGCCCTGACTGGAGTTGGAACTGTAATCTTATAGCCTCAGGACACTCTAACCAACTGAATGAACTACATGCCAGAGTCCATACATATCCATTTTAAAATTATGTTTATTATTACACTTACTTTGTTAAACAATCATTTTGTCTGAATAACAAGTATTTCTATATTTGCTTTTCAAATAATATTTTTAATATTTTAAAAATCACACATTCGTGCCCTGGCCAGTTGGTTATAGTGTGGTTCTAGTCCCCATATGCCAGTTGCAGGTTGGATCACCTACAAAAATTACCGTATGGACCAGCACAATCCAATTTCTGAGTATACACACACACAAAAATTTGAAAGCATGGTCTCAATTAGATATCTGTACCCTAATGTTTACAGTAGCATTATTCACAATAGCTAAAAGGTGGGAGCAGCCCAGGACTGCCAGGAACACACATTGGGGAAAGTATAATCCTTTCAATAAATGGTGTTAGGAAAACTGTATATTTGCAAACAGAGGAAGGAAATTGACCCTGATCTGGAATCTTACCCCCAAATAAACTCAAAATGGATAAAAGACTTACACATAAGACCTGAAACGCTAAGACAATTACAAGGAAACATAGGCAAAAGCTTCTTGATTGTGGTCTGGACAGCAGTATTTTCGGCATGATCCCAAAACACAGGTGGCAAAAGCAAAAACAGACAATGGAATTGCATCAAACTAAGAAGTTTCTGCACAGCAAAAGAAACAATTAGTAGACTGAAGAGATTTTCTATGTTCTGTGAATGAATATTTATAAATTTTACATCTGATAATGGATTAGTATCCAAAATATATAAGGAACTCAACTCAATAGCAATAAAAATAATCTAATTAAAAGTTATATAGGTATACTCTGGTATGAAATCTTTATTTAATGACAGATGTAAGTTCTCAAAAATCAAAATGCAAACCATTTCCTCATTGCTTATTGCAGACAGGCTTTGATCCCTTGAGTTTTTTTAAAATTACTCTGGCAAAAGCATCATTACCTCCACAGTTGATGGACATTTAGAAAAGGAAATTCTTAGCCTTTGTGGTGAGGTACTCCCAACCCTGACCCAAGAGCATCTTTTCGTATTAATGGAGAATCTGAAATTCCTAATTATGTCCAGGGAGGCTGATGGTTTCTAACCCATGTATAATGGTTTGAGGTATGCAGAAGTGTACCTATCTCAGTAAGAGCAAGATGGGGAGAAGCAACACTAAAGCAAGAAAATCTTACCCAGAAACGCTCAGCTTTAAGTAAAGAAAGAGTAGCAAACTGGGTGCCACAAAAGGACAAAGATACAGCCTAGATCCCAAGTTACATGAGGTCAAGATCGTATTACCTGGAGACAGAATAGTTATCTATGACCAGGAACTCAGTGGGAGCAATTCCTTGAAGATGAGTGGGATGTTAGTGACTCTCTGGGGGCTTGGGGTTGGGCTTACTTGGCAACACTTCAAATCCCAAGCCTGGAATGGATGGGGAAGGGAATCACAAGGTATTGGAGAGATATTGAGATGGGAGCAGTTAGCATGGCCTTAGGCATCTGAGGGCAGGCAGCTGCAGTGGACAAAGGAATGTCCTCCTCAGGATGTAACAGCCTCCCTCCTTCAAAAGAGGCAAAACCACTTATTTTCCACTAAAGGATCCCAGCAGGCAGAAGAATCAGCAGACACAAGCCTACATACTTTCACTCACAGGATTTATTTTGGTTTGTGAAACTGAAAGCTTTAAGCCATAACTAAAGGAGAAAAAGGCAGATTTTTATTCATTTTTGAATCAAGCCAGTTAATGGTGAATTTCTTGGTAATATCTTTTCTCCAACCTATGGCTTTTTGACATTATTGCCCCGTCACTGCTGTAAAAGAAATATAGAAAATAGAAAGGTTAGATTTTAACTTAATAAAACTGTCTAATTTTACTATGCATCTATAGGTATAGCATTTAAATTAGTATAATAAGACACTGGTTATACTGTCATGATCCTTACCTGTGTTCCACAAAATTTGTAAACCATTTTCCTTTTCCTGAATCCTTTGTGATAGCCACATTAAAAATATATCATAAATTGGTATTTATAAATATCTCACTTACACAGTCTCTATGCTTCACATGGGTAAAAGAAAATCACCCACAAGGAAACAGAGAGGAAAAGAATAATAAAAATATCCGAAGAAATAAATAATAATAATGATTAATTGGTCTATTTTTGTCTACAGAGGAGGAGTATTTCTGAGTGCGTTCTGTGCATATCCAACAGGTGTCCCACATACACATATTCAAAACAGAACTCATACTTCACTCCCCTGCATATCATCTTTCCAAAACCAAAGTGCTTCTAGCCTACTCTACAATATGTCATTAGTAAAAGGTGTGATTTTCAATTTTGTCAGAAATGTTTTAGTCTTCATAATTCTTTGTTATTCTACCTCAAATATATCCATCACTGACCACTTACTGGACTTGACCTCTGTTATATCCCACAAAACTTTTTGATCTTTTCTTCTTTTCCAAACCTGCCCTCATCACATCTTTCCTGTGTAGTCCATACTCTCATAGATGTTTTGCTCAACTCTAGTCCTGGCTGAATCTGACTGAATTTTTCACTGTCTCATTACAGCAAACTATATCATGTTAAATGCCTCCCAGGCTACTTCAAAAATACTTTCACATGTTCCCATTCATATATGACAAAATGTAAACTCCTTACCAGAGCACACCAGACAATTGTCTTGGCTCATGATTACCTATGTAGATGTTTATCTTTCAATGTTCATACATTTAAAAATAAATCTTAAAATGTATTAAGAGCACAAATTTAGAAACAGGTCTGGGTTTACATTTTACCCTTCCTATCATCCTGCTCTTGATCAATAAACATTATTTATGTACTTTTTCTTAGTCTACATCCAAGCCGTCAATTTATTTTGTTAGTTCATCTTAAAAAAAATTATTCCTGAAACTGTTTTTACTATTGCTTGTCTGAGGTACCATCCTGTTTTCTCTCAGGTTATTGCAGGAGTTCTCCACTATCAGGTTTCTTCACTTTTATTCTCTGTCCTTGTTTCTTTCAACTCTGCTAGAGATAAACTGATATCACTGTTATTTAACAAATATTCCTGACTTTTTTCCCATTGGATCATTCTAGTATGTGGAAAGTTCCTGCCCAGATATATGCAAGTATAGCTTTGCCACCTGAATCCCTATATAAGACAGGATTGAATTGTTGCAGAAAAGGTAAAGCTCTATCTTTAATTCTGGAGAAGCTGGGTGTCTGCTTTCACACCTTTCCTAGATAAGGGCAGTGAAATTGATGATCATCTATTTAAAAAAAATTTTAATGGAACCTTGAGACCTTGTACCTGAGGTGTCTCTCTGACCTTCATGACTTGCCTGCACTCTCTCTTGCTGTGCTGTATGCTTTGCATTTAAATAAAAGCTTCATTTGAGATGATCCTGTGAGTCCTTGAGATGTTCTTTCAAACATCTAAACTGGGTAAATATTTTCACCTTCTTCAATTCTTCACTTACATATCACTTGCTCAATAAGACTCTCTTAGTCAACCAATTTTTTAAAAATTGCTATCAAGTTCTTTCATCAACATCAACTCTTCCAATTACCCCTATTGCCCTAATCTTTCCCATCTGATTAATCACTTTCAATACACTATACAATCAACTTATGAAATGTATTTGTTGCTTATGGACTAAGTGCCAAACCCACTATTTCAAATTTTTGAGGCAAGATCTTAATGTAACTATAAAGTTCTGATGGCAGATGAAGACTGAGAAAGACCAAAAAAAGAAAAAGAAAAAGAAAAAACATGTAAAACAAAGCAAGATATTGAATTTATAACTTAAGATTTGGAAGAAATCAGAGAAGTGGCAAGATCACTGTATTGCTCTAGGACAGTGATGGCGAACCTTTTGAGCTCAGCGTGTCAGCATTTTGAAAAACCCTAACTTAACTCTGGTGCCATGTCACATATAGAAATTTTTTAATATTTGCAACCATAGTAAAACAAAGATTTATATTTTTGATATTTATTTTATATATTTAAATGCTATTTAACAAAGAAAAATCAACCAAAAAAATGAGTTCGCGTGTCATAAGTTCGCCATCACTGCTCTAGGAGAAAATGACTGAAGTTGGGTGGTGGTGATTAGTTTAAGGGAAGATAACCCAGCACAAGGATAAGACTATGATTGGAGGACAAGGACATGAAAGGAAGACAGTGAGCCAAGTGCCAAAATCCTCACCTCAGGTGTGGATTTTAACAGAGTAATCAAAGAAGTAGTAGAGATTGGTCTAGTCAGAAATAAGACTAATTTACATTCTGCATAGGAGTTATAAATGTGTTCTCTGGTGGCAGATGAGGAAACAGATACAGATACATTGACTAAACTCTCAAGGTCAGATATGGAGGAATGACACATAATTGGATGAACTCTGACCTCGCTCATGATTTGATTTTTTGTTTCTTCCATTTACCCCAGGTGATAAGCCTAATATGTCAAATGTCATGATTTCTTTATGCATATGAGTTAAAAATTGAAAACTATATACAGATGCTGACTTTATTACATCTTAGAGTAAGTTATTGTCTTTCTGCCTTAGAGAGTGCATGTAACATTTTCAATGGCCTCTAATACGTCCTCAGTAAATGTAAATTTTATTCCCCACATGTAGTTATACAACAGGCTATATGTGTCAAAATGGTGGAGTTTTTAACTTAAACCCTTGAGTCAGATTACCTTAAACTCTAGCTCCAAAACTTACTAAAATTCTATACACATGGGGAATTATTTAAATTCATATGTCTGTTTTCTCATTTATAAAACAAGAGTAACCATAACCATGGAATCTTAGGGAGAAATGTAAATGTTTGAAAATAATCCATTTAAGTCTATCAGTTAGCACATTAGGTAAATGAGCAGGATACATGATAACTCATAACTATTTTAAGAATATATTTAAATCTCTTCAAAGTCACTTCTTTTATGAAAAGAAAAATAGTTGAAAAAAACATCACTGGCTAAAACTGGTTGACATTGACTAAAGAGTCCAAAACAAAATTTGAATTAGCTTTTGTTTTAGTATAGGATATTGACAAGTAATAATGATGATGAAACATGGAAATAATGGGTCTCATAGTGAGGTATAATTAAAGATTTTAAAAATATATGAGCAATGATATTTTGTTAACAGCTTGAACCCTTCATTTCACCTTTAACTCTGTGTATGTCCTGCTGCTATCAGCACTGCTGTCTTCTAACATACTAGTAGTTCTGTATAAAAGAAATAACATTAGTTTTAGGTTTAGGAAATATTGTAATCTTATGCAAAATCAAGAAAAGGAACAAAGCTATATTTGTACTAATAACTCAAAAAATATATATCATTATTTACTTACTTCCCATCTTCACTCCATGAGGCTATATTAAATATTTGATCTTTCTAATGTTGACCTAACTACTAAATATATTAAGCTTATATACATTTCAAACTAAAAACCAATCTACTATTTTCTCTATCTTCTCTACAAGGAAGAAAAGAGGGATTTATAAGTAAATAATGCACATCCAAAGTTAAAAAGGTAACCTATATGCAAATAGGCAAATATTTAAATTATTATCTATCCGGTTATGATATTTCTACCAAAAGCTATGTAAATCACTAACTTTTCACTATCATTCATGAGGTCCTTAGTGAGGCCTCTAAGTCTTTCATCTACATGTAGTTACTTTTGGTGGTATTTATAATCTCCAATTTTTCCTTTGGAAAACTCCAATAACTATACAGTTCCTGTGGAAGAAAAATATCATGGTGCCCAGGTTCCTGCTACATGGCTATAATTCCTTGGCCAATGTAATAAGATCAGATTTGAACAACTAACTCAGGTTTATAAGTCCAGACAGAACACAGGCTGAATTTAGGTACACTTCCACACTGATTTCCTTCTGTCTCTTGAGAATGTGAACTAAGAGGCATCAATTATAGACTGACTCTTGGTGATTTTTTTTAATGAATTTAGTCAAAGTTTAGATAGGTATTCCCTGCCTTGTGCAGGCAGAGCAGTCATTTTTTTGAGGATGGACAAACATACACAGGAAGAGATGGTGTCAATCATAAAGCCTTTGAGTGATGGAACGAACTGCACAGTAATTCCTGACAGTGCAGTTCATTACCACCCATTGATGATTCAGCTCCACATCATTTCTTATCCTTGCAACCCTGAAGCTCCTTAGTGTTGCTCTAAAACTTAGACTGTCAAGACCAGTTTTAGTTATGATCAATCATTCCCCACTATAACATCTCTTTTAAAAGTCAGGTTTACTTCCAGCAACTATTCAGATTTGTCCAAGATGTCTTAAGCAAGGGCACAAGAAGACTTAAGCCAGATATTCATTCAAGTCCATTTATATTAATTTGATGATTATGTAAATATCTACATAAATCAGGCAGAATACTACACTGACTTTAATTAGTTACTGTTCACTTGTTTATACTGTAAATAAAATTAACTAACTTGGGGAATAGAGGTGTTGAAGATTTTCTACCATTATTGTATTTATCTCTCCAAAAGTAAGAAAGAGAACCATTTTTCTTTAGCATGGGATAAAGAGACCCATTTATCTTCTATTCTGCATTCTCATTTTCCTGAATATTCACTAAGCACATTGCAGCTTGTATTGGTGTATAAAGATAAGCAAGTACCTTAATTCTAACTTTAGAAACACATGAGCAATATTAATTATGTGTAAAATGGGCAGTAGCCTGTGTTCTCTCTCTTACTCTTTGCTGTCTAACATTTTTCTTACCTTCTACATATTTTGTTCATAAAATTGGCTTCCCTATCTCTATTAATCTCCATGGCACACCTGAATGTGGGGTTGCTTAGGAAACAAAAACCTCCTAAAGCAATTTTACCTGAATGGCTTTCTATTTGAAAGGCACTGAGGATTTATTGAGTAGCTTCAGTTGCTCCTGGGCCCTATACGCACATGAAGAGTACCTACCTGCCTACAACCTGAAAAAAACAAACTATATACTAAGAGTCAGTATTTCTACCCATCAACCCAATCCATCCAAGAATTCCTACTTGTAATATTCTGAATTACATTTTAATTTTTTCCATAATACATTTCAATATAAATATAAGAAATAATAAGTTTACTTACCCTTCACTTAGTGTTCCCTCTCTTTTCCAAAATTTCATTTTATTCCATGTAAGAGCAATGATGGCGATTAAAATAAGGAAAGATAGGAAAAGGCAGACACTGAACAAGAGGACACCTTTTTGAAGACCAGAACGATGATATGTTGTAGGCATGTATGCAACTTTTTCTGAAAATATGAAATAATTTTTAAAGTTAAATTTAATCATATTATAATTTTGATTTATAAAAATTTGTGATTCCAATAATACAGTCATACAATGAATAAAATTAAATTTAAAAGTGTTTTCCAATATTCTATGACTATGCCACAAAGTGCATTGTATATTCATGCCACTCAACACATATCAATATCATTGTCATACTTTATTTCAAATCATTACACATATAATCTTTTTTAATATTTTATATTCCAATGTATTTTATCATATTCTGGTCTATTAATTCCTGCTGAAAACAGATGAAATGGATATTACAACCTAATAAGCTCTTCAGTTTAAAAATATGGAGCATACAAAGAACTGTTTTTAAAAAAATGATTTAATGAAAAATTATTGACATAACTCAAGGTTGTAAAGCCCAATTAATGATAGTAAACCAGGTGAAATTTTCATATTGACTGTGTAAGATGATGTTGTCCTAATTTTGATTATATTAATTAGAAAAAATAGATATTCTTATAGGTGTTAGAAGATATTATAGGACAACATTTTAAATCTATGAAAACTAGGCCCAATTTAACAAAAGAAATATTCCAGACAACTAGAATACAGAAAACTAAATTAAGCGACCAGAATTACCACCAATAAACCTGTGATAATATTAAATGTAAATGCAATTAGTGTTCCCCCCACACAAAAGAGAAAAGTCCAATAACTTAGAAATAAAACCCAATTACATGTTGATAAGCAGTGATTTGACTAAAATAAAGTGATTCACAATGTTTATGTGTTATAGAAATAAATTGGAAAATATATGCAAAAATATTGAAATCATGCAAATATGTAGCTGTCATACATTATGGGAGAACGCAATAGTTTTAAAACTCTCCTTTTCCTGCTTCATCCATCTGAAAAGGTCAATTCTCCATTATCCATCTTCACTCACAATATCATATTGGAAGTGGATCTTTCTTCTCATGTACTAAAGGCTGATTAAAGAAATTGTACCTACTTATTGGATTGAGAGATACCCATTGCCCTAAGGAAGGTAGGGCTTCCACTTCAGCTCTGATGAAATATTGCCATTGAATGGTGCTGAACTAGCCCTCTTATAATAAAAATATAAAACAAGACAATCTACATGAGGGAAATAATTTCTTCAAGTCAACAGGAAATGCAAAACTATAATACCGGAAGGAAGGAAAATATGATGTTGATTTTATGAAAATTCTACTCTACTTATGGAGAATTTGCTGACATCAGCAGAGAATTGGAGTCCTAGGCAAAGTGCAGCACTTCACTGAGTTAAGGAGCCAAAACACAGAGTTCACAGCACAGAAATGGCTAGAACTGCAGGGTGCAGCACAGTTGCTCTGTAGATTAGGGACCCGGAAGTGTTGTGATAGCCTCCCAGCTGTCCTTAGTGGAGGTCTAATCTGAAGCTAATCAAAGGCAGCTCTTACTGGTTTGAGATTGAAAATAAGATATCAGAGTTTGCGCACTGCTGGAAAAAGAGCACTAAGAAAATCCCAATTTCTCCACATCCTCACTAATAACACGTTGCCTGTTATTTTTTATTATAATCTACCTAAGGAGTGTGAACTAGTAATTCATGTGGTTTTGATTTACATTTTCCTAAAATGTTGAGCACCTTTTCATGGGTTTATGAGCTATTGGTATATCTCCTATGAAGATATATTTATTTAAACCCCTTCTCAGTTTTAATTGGGTTATATTTTTACTATGGACTTGTAAGAGTTCTTTATATATTCTGGAAACACAACTTGCATATCAGATACAAGATGTGCAAATATTTTTACCCATTCTGTAATTTGTCTTTCACTTTCTTGGTTGTGTCATTTGTAGCACAAAAGTTTTTAATTTTGTATGAAGTTGGATCAATCTCTTGTTTCACTCATTGCTTGTGCTTATACTAATTTCCAAAAAGGCTGCATAATTTTACATTCCACCAACAATGCACAGGGGCTCCACTCTCTTCATATCCTCATCAACACAATATTTTCTCAATTTTTTTATAAGCCTGTAGGTTTGGCCCACAATATCCTATCAATCTGAGATGTTGAGCATGTTTTCATGTGCTTATTGACCATGTGGGTAAATTATTTGTAGAAATATTTATTCAAGTCTTTTACCCATTTGTTAATTTGGTTGTTTTCTTGTTGTAAATCTGCAGGAGTTCTTTACATAAAATGGATATTAATTTTTCATCAGATATATAATTTGTAAACATTTTCTCCTATAACATGGGCAATCCTTTTCACTTTGAGTTGATCATACTCTTTGCTGGAAAACAGTTTTTAATGATTATGAATTCAAATGTATCTATTTCTCTTTGCTTATTTCTGGTCCTATAGCCAATAAATTACTGCAAAACCCAATGTTTTTAATAATTCCCTCTGCTTTCTTCTAAGAATTTTATCATTTTAGCTCTCACATTTAATTTCTGATCCATTTGTAGTTAATTTTTGCATATCATTTCAGTAAACACCCAAGCTTATTCTTTTGCTTGTTGACATATGCTATCCCAATACCATTTGCCGAAACGGCTGGTCTTTCCCCCATTGAATGATCATGGCATCATTATGGAAAATAATTGGACCACATAAGCAAGGGTTTATATCTGGTTTCCAAAATTTATTCCATTGGAAAATTGCAGTTTTCTGATTTTGGTGTCCAAATTAATATACTGTATCCATTTCCAAGAAGGTAAAAAAGAACCCTGGGGTCCATTTCTTTCTTTTTATGTTAGTTTCTACTGGACAAAACTGAAAATTCATAAATTTTATTTTACTGCCCACAGTGATAAAGAAAAGAATATTGATGGAGGAGTGTATTTTATCATTTATACTCAGTCTAATGCAGGAAAAAAGAGAGCAGAACAGACTTTTCGCTAAAAGATATGCAGAGGCCAAATTAACACATTGAATATATTTAATATCATTACCCATTAGGGAAGTGCAAATTACAACCACTTTTAAAACTATAAAAGTCTTACTATCTATCCATCAATTTCACTCATGAGCATGTTTTCCAGAGAATTAAAAATTTACTTTTATTCATAATATTCCACATGAATACTCATAGCAGATCTAATCATGATACCAGTAGCTAAATATTGGCAACCAAGCAAATGTCCTTCATGAGTGAATAATTAAAGAAATTTTGATACACCCATACAAAGAAATACCAATCATCAATAAAAAATGAAGTATTCATATATGCAACAACTTATATTCAGTTCATGAAATTTATGCAAGAGAAAGAAGTCAATCTTAGAGACAAATTGTATGAAAATATTTATATAACATTTGTGAAATAACATAATTAGAGAGATAGAGCAGTTCAGGGGTTGCCAAGAGTTAGGAAAGGAGGAAAGAAGGGATCAGTGTATCTGTAAAAAGGACTAATATTAGTTTAGTGATAATACATGTTGTGATGGTACAGTTCTGCATCTCAATTGTGGTGGTGACTACATCAATTTGAACATGTAACAAAATTGCACAGAACTAAATATGTGCACCCACATACAGAAGTGAGTGAGTGCATACTGGTGAAGATTGAAAAAGATCTATGTATTTTGTCAATGTCCACTTCCAGGTTTTGATATTGGACTATAGTATTGAGACATGTTTCGTTGATGGAGTCTGACTGAAGGGTACACAAAACTTCCTTTCACATTTCTTTGCTATTTATTTTGAATCTATAACTATAAATTAAATAAACACCCAATAATATATCATTACATATCTAAAACTGGCAAAACAAAATTGAACTAAACAAACAATCAAAAATAACAATATCTAAGTGCTTATGAAGTGCGTGCTATCTGTGCAGAGAAACTGGCTCTCTCATTGATGAATGGGGTGAAGGAAAAATGGTACAGCCACTTTTGAAAATAATTTGGCGGTTTCTTATAAAACTATAAGTACACTCACTAAAAACATACACTTATTAAGTGACCCAGCAATCTTATCCCTAGGTGTTTACCCACCAAAAAGTGACAATATATGTATATTCTATATGTACAGTATATATATTATACATATGTATATAAAATTCTATATATTTATATCAGCTTTATTCTTCATTGCCAAAATCTTGAAATAACACAAATAACCTTCGATGGATGAATTGACAAGCTAACTATAGTACATCTTTTTAATAGAAGGCTAGTTAAAAATAAAAATTAATGAACTATTAAAACATGACAACAGAAATGAATCTCAAATGCATATGTCATTCTGGGAAAGGGGAATATCTAGGAGCAGAGAACAGGTAATTACTTTCCGGGAATTAACAGTAGGGGATGACTGCAAAAAAAGGAGCCAGAGGAAGGATTTTGGGTGCTAAGTCTATTATGTATCATGATGACAGCTGATGGGAAAATAAGTCTGTTCGTTTATTTTTGTACCCATAGAATTGTATACCACAGAGTGAACATGCTAATGTGTATAAATTTTTAAAAGGCAAATATGTTTAATAAAAAATAAGTATTAAAAAGAGACAAAGGCTGGGATTTTTTTTTTCAAAATTTCCAAGAATACATCCATCCATAGATTCAAGAATCTCAGCCAATTTATTTCAAACAGGATAAATTCAAAGAAAAACACATTTGGCAAATCATAGTGAGACTGTGGATAATCAAAAACAGAAAATAAGTCTGAAATTCAGACAAAGAGCAAAAGAATAATTATATTATTGAGATGCATAAGAAGAATGACAGCTGTGTTCTCATCAGGAAAAGGAAGCCAGGATACAGTGTGATTATATCTTTGAACAGCTGAGAGGAACAATTTTCAATGTAGAAATCTACTTCCACTGAAATATTTTTGGCAAATGTAGACACTATAAAACCACTTTAAAGACAAACAAAGGCTGAAACATATGGTCACTGCAAAATAGACCAAAAAGAAATACAATAGGAAGTTTTTCAGCCTGAAAGGAAATGACCCATAGGGAAATTTGAATGTGCTGGAAGAGTTGAAAAGCCCCCAAAAAACAGTAACTCAGTGGGCTAATATATACAAATATATATATATATATATATATATGTATATATAT